GTTTGATTACGTTTGGATTTATGGATCACTGATACCAGCTTTATTCTAGACAATCTGTTTATACACAACAGAGTGTTCTCAGCCTATTCTATTGTACAATATTTACTTCTTGTACACTATGTTCAAATTCGACAGTATATCATAAAGCATCATGTAGTGGGTTGTGGAACACGCTTTCACTGAACCTGCCCCCCCTTTCGTTATGTCTCCTCTAATTCCTTGAAGACATTCTCCACATAATAGTAAACCCTACTTAAAAACTGTTCATGAATGCAGGTTCTGATGCGATGACGTAACTGGAAAATTAAAACACAATATGGAATAGAGTAAATTTGAAGTATTATGCTGGATGGAAATTCAAATAGCGCAGTAATTTAAAATAGGCCGCCATAATTAATAATGATTTAAACAAAATGAAATACAAATTAACTTTGAATCGAGACGAAAACAAAATAGATCCCGATGAAATTATTTTTCAATAGTGAACTATACAACTATAATTAAAAGCTGGTGAAGAGAGTAACTTCTTAATGGAACGTCCTTAAAAAATAATTGTTGCAGTGACGTAATTCAAAATTGAATAGTTTCCAGTTTTCATGCTATTAAAAGGCATATGTTTATTTGATGGCTCAAGACGCCAAGTAGTTAGTGTACCTTTGAAAAATACGCTTATCCAACGCGTACACACACACTCAGATGCTCAAGGATATTACACAAAAGTGGTCCTACTCTAACGACAGAAGACAAAGGACAGACAACAGATCGTTCATTGAGAAAATCAACAGATATTTATGGACTTTTATGTGCATTATTATCAGCGTTATTGTTAGCAGAGGAGCAACATCTTCTGATTGGTTGTCATCTCTTTGTGGTCGTTTCTTTGAAGGTCAGACCATATATCAACGAATCGCATCCGCCCACTCGAAGTCTGTTGTGATTGGTTGTTGAGTTAGTCTTTGTTCTTGTTCTTTTCTCATGACGAAGATATGGGACGTAAACATTAACGTACATTGCCGTCTACCAGTTTTGGCTAGCAGACAGCTCTCACCGCACTACAGACGAGGTTTTTACCATTGTAGTCAATATTCCCTCTTTACTTCTTTTCTCACTGGAACTAATCAGTGATATCGATTACTAGGCTGTTTTACATTTCATACTCACTGTCACTTTGAATTCCTGTTATGTTTGTCTTAGAAAAATCTCATAAGGATGTAGAAAAATGCTGATAAGCGTCGAAAACGTGGTTAAGCCAACGTTGTTATTTTGTCTTTTCAAAATTATGCCTTATCCTTCAATCAAGTTGTTTTACTGAGTTGTCAGTTCGGTGGTGAAATGTTTGGCAGTCAGACAGAAGGCATTCGTTTGAATACTAGCTAACACATCGTGAAAAGTTGTCTACTTTACTGGTCAGTAGCAACTACACTCCGTAAAACCAAAACCCATCTCTATTGAAACATCAACGCAGCGGTAAAATAAACTTATTCTCCCCATGGAATCGAGATAACTTTTTAATTCGAAAACGGAAGACTTTAGTGACAGAAAATTCTCCTCGAGATAGGAGCTGAGGTGAGCCTGGAAACATATAATGTCCGCTTGATATGTGTGGCTGTCTAGAAAGGCTGCTTAAATCTGAGAAGAAATGAGGTGGGTATGATGTCGAAGTCCCTAAAATAGGAATTTAAGAAGTCAGTCGGGCCTCGAGTGGAAGTCTTAAGAATTTGTGACAGCATATGCTGTGATAGATGTGGACCATGAAAAATGTTAACTGGAGAGTAAATAATCTACACCAGCAAACTGAGGGTATGGCTATTACGATGTCATCAACAGCTGCAAAGGTTCTCAAGCAGAAGGAACCAATATCCTTCAGGATTTTCGGCAGCAAGATTCAACTCAAAAGGTGGGAGATTTACAATTGTCTAATGCTATGCGCTTACGAACGGCGCAGATAAACAGAAGAACTATGACTTCTACTGGCAACCGTAAAATGTAGTGGACAAGACCTCAGATGACGAAATGAGGATTCTAATGGCTAACATAAGCGACAAATTGGGATCAAACCAAACAGAAAGAGATGCAATCATGGTTCGAAAGGCGCTTGGCGAAGTGAATGATAACGGTTAACTTCCTCGCAAACTTCTGAAGTAGCTTATACAAGTATTAGGATATCCAAAAAGCCGAATAAGTTCCACCAGATGGACGTACCAGAATTCAGACAGACTTCATTTCATTATCAAGAGAGTGGAGATGTAGCTCAATGTACACAAAATGGAGAAGAGGAGTATATGTAGGCAGATAGAACGGAAGTCGACTCTCTTAACTGTAACCTACAGAGTTAATAATGAATTCCAGCCATCCATGATAATAATACGAATAATCAATTGGCCGTAGAAAATCACTATTTGGCTATCATTCACTTCACTATTACTTTGGGAGTGATTATTGTAAAGAAAGAAAAGTACTGGAACCAAGAGGAAATGAAATCCTAAAAGAATTGATATTAAGGTGTAAAATGAATGTAAACTTCAAATTTGACGGCGCGCTTTACAGGCAAGTGGACGGGGTGGCGATGTGCTCCCCACTGGGTCTTATTTCGACGGAATTTTTTGTAATTAAACTACAAAATGGACCTCTGAACAACCTTATCAGTAACCTCTCATTTTATTGCCGATATATGGATGATACCTTTATTCTTTGTGATAATGATTCGGATCGGAATACAATAATTACTGAATTCAATGAAGTACATTCGGCTATGAAATTCACATGTGAAGAGGAATACCAAGACAGAATTGCCTTTCTGGATCTCCTACTTACAAGAAAACCAGACGGTCGCATAAAAAGAAATTTGCATAGAAAAAGTACTTAGACAGGACAATATACACATTTTTACAGCTTCGTTCCTATCAAGTACAAAAAAATTTAGTGAAAACCCTCAGCCACAGAGTTAGAGCTATATGCTCTGAAGAAGTAATTAAAGATGAATTAAGCATGGTATATGATACTTTAATCGAAAATGGTTATCCTGACAAATTTATCAAGAAACATATGACAAAGAAAGCCGAAAAGGACTACCCACTATCTGTAAACAGGAAGCCACTTTATGTACGACTGCAATTCATGGGCGATATACCAAGTGATTTAATTACGAAGAAATTAAGAAAATCAGTTCACGTGCTATTCTCTACACGAATGATGTTGCTACCTCGACTGAAAGATGAAGTATCTAGACTAGTCACTTCCAGTTGTATCTACCAATTCAACTGCACTTTTGGTGGGGCGAGTTATATCGGCCATTGCTCTAGGAACTTGATTTTTCGTGCTCGCTCAGGAACATTTCCCAGTATGGCTAAGTAAAGGTGTAGTTAAAAGTATTAACAGTTCGATATTAGACAATCTGGTGCGAACCGGTCACAAAGTCAGCGTAGAAGAATCCTCCTTTATAATATACCGGGTGCCTAACAAACTACCAAAATCGTCGAAGCACCGCTTACTCCAAACAGCAGAGGCTATTGCAATTCGCCTCAAACAACCAGCGCTCTGTGTCCAAAAGAAACAAGTCCAGCCCCTACTACTGCCCTGGCCCTCAGTAGAGACTATAAACTCATGAATTTGTACTATTATCTTTCCTAATTCTTCTGACATTCAGCTTATTTTATGTTGATGCTATTCAGCTGTAATGCATCAATATTATTGATTGGATGTTATTTAAACATTAATGTCGTTCATAAGACTAATTTATTCATTATAATGTATATGTAATTGTAGAACCTGATGATGAAGGGGTTATCGAAAAGAGTACTCTTTGTTCCGTGTCCATTCTTTTGAAAGTGAATTTCTTTATCGTTAATCATCTATTAATTTTATGCTCTTGAGAACACTGGTAAATAACTTTTTCATATTTGTTATTGATATTTTTTCACTAGTTTACTTCAGAAAATTTTTACATTCATTCCTAATCTCCCTTTTTCTTAACTGTTAGCTTGAACAACAAGTCCAAGAGTTACGCGTTGAAAGAGATCTGCTACGACAAGAGTTAGATAATTTAACACGAACTCGTCACAGGAGTCCATCACCAGTCACCAGGTCAAGATCGCTGAATAGATTTCAGGTAAACAATATACATATACATATATATTTGATGTGACTGTGTTCTTTGAGCCAACTGGATGGTTTGTTTGTGAAGCTTTCATGACCCTAATAGGCAACATCTTCAGCGCAAGTTTATTAGTCATATCTCCTGGTGACCACCTTGAACGTGATTGGTTGTTCTTGTGTGTGTTTTCACACCCTCTATGCTACTTGTATTGCAATTGATTGTTTCTTTGACTTGAACTTTGACCCTTTATGTGTGAGATTTCCTTCTTATCGGTTGGTAAATTTTGTCTATCTCGATGTGTCTATTAATTGACGATTCACTGGAATACCAGGCTTATAAAAATTCTCTGGCTAGCATTCTTAATGTGTTTCTCCGTCTAATATTTGAATTTGGATACGTTACGTAGACGACACATTTGTAATAATCAAAAGAAACGAGTTAGATAAAACTCACAACATAATAAACAACGTCTTCAACGACGTCAAATTCACAAGAGAAGAGGAATCCGAGAACAAAATCCCAAATTTGGACGTCTCAGTCAAACGAACAACCACAGGGGAATTAGAAACTCAGTTTTGTAGAAAATCAACTCACACAGACCAAATACTGAATTACAACAGCAACAATCCAATAACACACAAAAGAAATTGCATACAAACACTATTCAAGAGGGCCAGGACTCATTGCAGCACTCCCACCTTAAGGAAAATTGAAGAAAGATATCTCATGGACGTCTTTCAAAAGAATGGATATCCACGGAACTTCATCACAAGACATATACCCCGAAGCCACCAACTTACCAAATCTAAGGTCCTCAAGGAAAAGCACAAGGAAAATCACCCTAGTATATATATATATATATAAAGGACATCTCAGAAATCACTACAAGACTCTTCAAACCTTAAGGAATTGACGTCGCACACAAACCAACGAAATCACTTCACTCAGCTCTATGTCAACCAAAATACTCAACAACGAAAGAAGATAAAACCAACATCATCTACAAAATAAATTGTAACAATTGCGAAAAACACTACATTGGCCAAAGTGGACTTCCCCTTCGTCTTCGTATCCATGAACATAAACTAGCCGTCAAAAGACATGACATCCACTCCCTCCTTCATATCGCTGCACACAGACAACCACGGACATCAGTTCGAATGAGACAACCAAAATAAAGATTATATTATATTATTGTCTTATCTAGAAATAGGTTCGTCAATCAATAGACACATCGAGATAGACAACATTTACCAATCGATAAGAAGGCAATCTCACACACAAAGGGTCAAAGTTCAAGTCAAAGAAACAATCAGTTGCAATACAAGTAGCAGCCTAGAGGGTGTGAAAACACACAAGAACAACCAATCACGTTCACCAGGAGAGATGACTAATAAACTCGTGAAGGAATCTAAAAGCTCACTTCAAATTGAAGTATGCGCTGAAGATGTTGCCTAGTAGTGTAATGAAAGCTTCGCAAATAAACCATCCAGCTAGCTCAGAGAACACAACCACATCCAAATCATCCACCTGAGCTACAAATCTTCCCCATCATATATATATGCATATAAAGTTAGTGTATTCATCGAAATATGCCTTGATTTTGGGTTATATTCGACAGATAGGCTCAGCTTGTGTTGACACATTGGCTACTAACTAGTTCGGATACTTCGATAATATTCGATGGCTAATATGTGCTTACAAACTAACGAATTAAACCGATAACTATTGATAGGCATTGCACAAGAAGTGGCTATCGTGGTCTCAGTGGTCCAGTGAATAACACTTTTTCGTTTGAAACGATGATTGGCGGGTTCTAGTCCCAGTGGGGATGCAAACCATCACTCACTGGGAATTCAGGTACATCCAGGCGATGGGCCTCAATTAGGACAAAACGGTGCATCCTGGATTTCACTACTAGCTATTTTTATCCTGTATGATATTTTAAATTATACAATAAACAATATTCGATTGCGTTTAAGTTTATGAATTTACATTCAAATACATTGAAATACGCATATCAAATACCTGGACTAATTTAAAATATCAATAGTAGTGTGAAATAAACAAAACAAAAGTTATTATATAAACAAAATGTCATATGCATCTTGTAACACATGACTCAATGGATAAGTCTTAACAAATTTGAATAATAAACAACACAGAAATAGAAAAACAAAAGGTTGGATTTTTAAACATTTAAAATTGCCTCTTCATCGTTCAATGTTCAATGCGAAATTAAAAACATTAAAATGGAATATCATGATTCCATTTCCCTATGGCACTTTATGAAAATGGAAAGCCAATCACCAAAGAGGTGGGGCAAAGGAAACATTAGGCTGAACACTTCGAAAGTCTTCTAAATCGACCGCCACATACAACTCGCCCAATAATACCAACAGCGGGAGCAAAATTACCAGCGGATATCCATCCCCGCGACAAGAACAGAAGTCCTGAAGGCAATCAAGATGTTAAAAACTGGAAAAGCAGCAGGACCAGACAGAATCCCAGCAGATGCATTGAAAATGGACCCCGCGACATCACCACTGGGGGAGGTGTGGAAAGAGGGTAAGGTGCCGGGCTGATAGGACGAAAGATTACTTATTCAAACTGCCAAAGGAAGAGGACTTAGGTCAATGAAATAACTGGCATGGCATTATGCTCCTGTCCATACCAGGCAAAACACTAAGTCACATCATCCTACAGAGAACCGAACACGTTGCCCTGGATGAAAAACTTCGACCGGAACAGGCTGGATTCAGGAGAAGCAAGTCATGCATCGATCAAATTGCACCACTACGGATCACCGTTGAACAGAGCTTGGAATGGCAGTCACCTCTCCACCTTTATCAACTTCATTTACTTTGAAAAGGGCTTCGACAGTGTCAGTCGAGAGGTGATTTGGAAACTAATTCGCTACTATCAAGCGGTGCCTCTAACAATTACATATCTCTTCCAACAGCTGTACAACAATGTTGCATGCCAAGTAATCCACAACGGGAAACTTACGGAATACTTCGAAGTGAGGACAGGAGTAAGACAAGGCTGCCTAGTATCGCCAATGATTTTCCTGATTGCATTAGATTGGATAATGTGACAGACAGCGGGCAATGAGGAAACAGGCATAAAATGGACCCACACAAACAACTTGGAGGATCTGGACTTCACCGATGATATATGTCTGATTTCCCACAAACTGGAAGATATGCAAGCGAAAAGCAACAAGTTGGCAGAAGAAGCATCCAGAGAAGATAGGACTTCAGGTGAACATAGAGAAAACAGAGGTGATGAAGATTCCTGGGCAACACTACCAACAGCAACAGCAACAACAACAGGCGACAATCAGCATAAATGGGAGAAATCTGAAAGAAGCAACCTCCTTTACTTAACTACCTACCAACCCGGGAATAATCGTTTCAAATACAGGCGGACGGAACTGATCAGGATATCAAAGCGGCGATCAGGAAAGCAAGGTAAGCTTTCATTGCTCTCAACTTTGTATGAAGGAGATCAATAGCACTACTTAGAATTCGGATTTTCAACTACAATGTGAAGTCAGTGCTACTATACAGATCAGAGACTTGGTTCCGCATCACGAAAGCCGTTTCAAACAAACTACAGACCTCCATCAACATCTGTCCTCGCTCAATATCAGATGGCCGGCCAGAAATGATCAGCAACAGGCAGGGATCTCCGCAGTGAACCAACGAATCAACCCAGCAGGAACCGATTGTGTAACAAATATGCAGGAAGAAATGGAGGTGGGTGGATTGGAGGCCATACTCTGAGAAAACAAAGCATCAGCTGAGTAACATCACACATCACGCCACGTTAGTTGGTCGTCAGTGAGAGGGTGACATGGAATGGAGGAGGTCGAGCGAATAGGAGATGAAAGCATGTGGGTAGACGTGGAGTCAGGTGAAAACTTTGGCAGAGAACCGAACACAACGGAGACATGTGGTTGAAGCACTATGTTCCTATAGAAACTAAGGGAAACATAAATAATAATAACACTTTGCTTAAAACACATGCGACTACATAATATTTATTACATTATATTGTAATTGTATATATAAAATACTGTTACTCACTATTATGAGTGATGACGAATTAACTTTAGTTAGAGAACAATTAAAAACTCGGGTGTACTGAATAGCCATTTCGTCACCGTTTGAGACTCCTCATCTCTCTACACATGCATCACCCGACCAGGGATCTAACCACTGTTACAGCCACTGTAATATAATCCACCGGCCTACCATTACTAACTTCACGATATGTAGCCCCACTGTCAGTCAATATATCATCAACCAGTATTTGTCCTGACACCCTACTTGGTGGAAACCGCTGGTTACGATTTCCCACTGGAATGGTGTATTGTTAAATGTAAGACTGTAGGAAAACTCTTCCCATGGTTTTGATAATATGTCAGGGAAAAACTACCTTGACTGATATGACAGCTTTTGCTACGATTCAATGCAAACTAAGTTTTCTAAGTTTTTCACTCTGAGAGTTAAAAACGATGTCACCCTTCCATGTTTATTGTGTCTGTACAACCTGTAGACATGTCTGCTAGCACTTATCTCTAGGATGGATGAATTGAATAATTTCAAGGGTGTAAATTTTCCAACTTCATTTGCTACCACCAGTACTGTGGATGTTAGTAAAATTGAGTCGAATGCAGACACCATAAAAATTTCTTCTTCATCTGTTTATATGACAAGTATGCAATCTGCATGCGCGATCCTGGTGCCCGGTTCAGGGTGATCAAGAATGCTCTGACCTCAGGTGGAGGCTCACCATTGCACTTCTGTAGGTTGAAAATCACAAAGGACCCTAATCGGGTGCCCTCGGGCGTGTAGATTTTGCCAGTGGGGGAGGCTTCGCGGTCCTCCCTTTATTTTTGCATTGGTGGCACAGCAGTTATGACTCTCACCGACCATGCACATGGTCCGGGGTTTGATCCCCTGTCGACGTACACCTGATATCAGTGGTCAGCCGACATCACATGCTGAAAATTCCATACTTGTACCAAAAATACGATGTGGAATCAAGCTATAATCAAAAGTGAAATTAAAAAAAAAAGAAATCTTATTTAGGATAAGTGTGACTCAGACACTTTTAGTGAAACTGAAGATTAGACGGCCGGCGACAAGGAACTCTGGTAGTTAGCACACAAGTGAACAATCCATCGCGCGCAACAAATATGCAAGATGAAGTGAAGGTGGATTGGACATACATTGAGGAAATCGTCAAGTGTAATTAATTACACCTTGAATGAGAAGCAACTGATTGAGCGTGACATAAAGAAGTTCCAGCTTTTGAGTAATCGTAGGGCCAGCTAAAGAGCTGAGAGAGAATCCGGTGGAAGGGAAATGTACCACTGAAGCCCTATGTTCCACTCAGAACACAAGTAATGAATAAAATCAATGAAGATATCAGATAACTAGGGAGCACCTGACATCTGTATCTCCTCAGCTTGGAATTCTTCGTCACAGTGCTCACGAGTAACTTGATTTCCCTTAACTACACCCAAATTCATCTTTTTTATGCGATTGGTCAGTTCAAGGAGGAGGGAATGAAAGCTTATGGGTAATTTTGAAGTCGGCTGAAACTACTCCAGAGAACGGAATGAAATGCCGTTGTATTACTGAAGCTCTATGCTCCACTAAGAATCCAATGGAATAACAATATCGTCAGTGATTCACTCGTTCGGTTGTGGTCTTATAGTTCAACTTGATGATACGTCTTGCTGTCTTAAAATAACATAAAATTATAATTTAATTGGAAATGGAATTAACCGTAAAATGTAGCTTTCATTTCTTTAATGTTAGTGTATTGTTTTTTTCCCCGCTGCCTCTTTTTTTTAACCTATCTAGTCTCGAGATGATTATATGGAATTAACTAAACTTCGACAGGAACGTGATGAGCTGAGAAGTCTACTCAATAAATTAGAGCATAGAGTTCAAGAAGTAAGTGTAGTGCATTAACTTGAATAACCCTCTGATTGATCAATGTTCAACATTATATTCTTCTTATTGGTTACTTTAAACAATGTTGATGACAACATTTTATTCAGAATAAGGTTTCTTTTCACCATTGTTAAAATCACTGACTTTGGTTTGACAATAACTTTGCATAAAAGTCGAATTAGCAGGATTTCACAAAGATCTGAAGCATCAACACAAATGGAAAGAACATTAGTGGTCAGCAGACAGAAGACAACGGCCAGGCAGCAGATCGATTATTGAGAAAATCAACAGATATTTATAGATTATTATGTACATTATTATAAGTTATTATTAGCAGGGGAACAGCGTCTTCTGATTGGTTGTTTTCTTGCTGGAGGTTATTCTGTCATCTCTTGGTGGCCGTTCCTTTGAAGGTCAGACCATTTATCTGCCGATCGTATTTGTACACGCTAAGTCTGCTGTAACTGATTGCTGAGTTCCTCGAGGTTAAGCTTTTTTATTGTTTTATCTCGTGACCCCGATTAGGAACGTAACATTGACGTAAATTGCTATCTATCAATTTTGGCTAGCAGACAGCTCTCATCATATATATATATATATATACGTTGGTTCCTACAGGAGTGTGGATATCCATTATTATGAAAGATTTTGTATTTCCCAATGAATGAAAAATAAAACGATATTGTTGTCGCTTTTACTGACGTTTCGCTATTTAATGGTGCTGCTTATACCTTTATCAAAGCAGTATTATTCAACCAGATTTTACAAAATCCACTCAGCTTGTATGTAACAATTTAATCGTCGTTCATAAGCATCTGTGTTGTCAAATTGGCCAATTGGTAAAATTAACAAACTTAGGTGTAGGTTGGTGGATTCGATAAGTGTGTAAAATTTTAAAAGCAGCATGTGTTTACATGATGAAATTGCTTATCACATTCGTGTTGATTTTGTCATTTCATGCCGGTTTGGGGGAGGGTGTTTTAATCGGGTCAAATTCTGTTTCAGTTCGTCATTCCTATTTAGACAATTTGGATTCCACTTGATATGAAGTGCTGCTGATGATATTAGACGTTGTTTGTGATTTCTGAAATGCATTTTCTGGGTGATGATTTCAATATTGTCGAAATCAATTTTGTGACCTGATTCTATAGCTGATGATTTTTTAAGCTTTTCAAGTTCGGCTGGATTTCTTGGTGGTCGAACGTAGGTGGCTCTACAGTGTTCATTCCTTCTGATTTTTATTTCTCTCTGGAAATGTTTGTCCGATGTGTGTCGCATCACATTCAAAACAAGCCTTTTATTTTGTAGACACAATTAGATTAAGAATCCTTAGAGATTTGGTCTTTTATATGGATAAGGTTGCTCTGTAGTGTGTCTGATGTTCTGAAGAAAACTCTGATGTCGTGCTTATTGACTACTCTTCTGATGATATCGTCTGACGTTTCTGATGTATTTGGAATGACAACACTTGAGGTCCATGTTTTCGGAATACGTTTTCGACCATATCCAATGTCGATGTTGACTTTGGTAAGGAAGTTCCTTGAATAGTTATTTCACTGGAGAGCCTCAGTAGTGTTCGATATTTCTTCTTCGTTTGCCTTCTTATCCGTTGTCAAAGAGTGTGCTCATCTAAGAAGACTTGAAACAATTGACATCTTTGCGCTGACGGTGTGTGATGATCCGAAGTCTTAATATTTGATGGAGTGGGTTTTCTTCCTTAATACAGAAATGCTGAAATGTCCGTTTTCCCTCCTCTTGACTAGGCTGGCAGTCTAGAAATGTTAGTTCACCGAAGTCTGATTCTGCTTTCGAGGTAAACTGTGTTCTGGGAGACAGATTGCTCACTTGTTCCAAGAATGAACTATGTAGATCTCGTTTCAGCACTACAAAAGTATCATCTACATATCTTAACCATATTTTAGGAATGAGTATGCTTGAAAAGGTGTTATTTTCGAATTTATTCATGAAAAGGTTGGAGACTATTGGGAAGACTGGTGAACCCATAGGAACACCATTTGTTTGTCTATATAAACTCCCTTTAAATGTAAAATAATTATTTTCTAGACAGAATTTCAAGCTCTAAATTATTTTATTGGTGTCCAGTGGACATCTTTGTGATAGTGTTGTATGTGATTCTAGTAAATTCAAAATGATATCAAGACTTTAGGCAGTGGGAATACTAGTATATAATGAGTTAATATCAAAGCTTACCATAATGTCTTCTTGATCAATTTCTCCGTGTTCTATTTGGGATTTGAAATCATATGAATCTTTTACAACACTATGAGTGTCCGTTTGCGGTGGTTTCGGTATCGATGATAAACGCTGGTAAACGATGATTAAGTCGTTATAAATATATAAGCTTGGTGAATTTTGTAAATTCTGGTTTAATAATACTGCCTTGATAAAGCTATTAGCAGCACTAAATGGAAAAACGTCAGTAAAAACAATATCGTTCATTCATTGGGAAATACGAAAAGTTTTATAACTATGAATATCATATACCCAAATGTCCAAATCTTTTTCAAACTGTTATAAGGTGTGGATACATCTCGCTGACGAGTACCAACGAGCACGAAGTCTGAGTCAGTCAGGAGTCCTTGTTGATTACCTTTAACGATGTAAAGCCAAAGTCTTTCTGCGTTTATGTGACTTACTGGCAACTTTATTCACTACTGTCTGGATTTTTTCACTCATCAACCTCAGCTAGTCACCAAAATCAGAAACACATTATGGGAAGAATGCAGGGAATTACTTTTGGTAATGTACCTCCTAAGTATAAACTACTTTTAAACTTTGATGTATTCAATCTGTCTTAACGAAAATACTGCTGTTATAATAAATAGTACAGAGAGAAGTCCTACTTCACACTGAATAAAGAAAATATTTACCAGTTCTAATGATGATGTCTTCATCAGTTCCACTTGTAGTTGAAACGATGCTTCCCATGTAGGTAAGTAGTTAGGTGAAGGAGGTTGCTTCTTTCAGATTTCTCCCATTTATGCTGATTGTTGTCTGTTGTCTGTTGCTGGGAAGCATTGTTTCAACTACAGGCGGATGGAGCAAATGAGGATATCAAGGCGAGGATCGGGAAGGCATAAAAAGCTTTCATTACTCTCAAATCTGTGTGGAGATCAACAGCACTACTCAGCATGAAAAATAAGATCCGAATTTTCAACTCTAATTTGAAGTCAGTGCTGCTTACTATGCGGATAAGAGATTTGGAGTGTCATGAAGAGCACCTCAAACAAACTACAGACTTTCATCGACAGCTTTCTTCGCTCAATACTACTCAAGATCAGATGGCCTGTCAGAGAAGATCAGCAATAGGGAGGGATCTCTGGCAATGAACCAACGAACTAATCCAGCAGGAACAAATTGTGCAATAAATATGCAGGAAGAAATGGAGATAGGTGGATTGAACGCCATACTCTGAGAAAACAAAGCATCAAATGAGTAACATCACACGCCAGGCCATTGCTCGAGTGGAACTCGGATGGGGAGCGGAGAGTTAGTTAGTCGTCAGTGAGAGGGTGATATAGAGTGGAGGAGGTCAAGCAAAGTGGAGATGAAATTATGTAAGCAGACGTGGAGTCAGGTTAAAACGTAATAGAGACATGTGGCTGAAGCACTATGTTCCTCTAGGAACTAAAGGAAACAATAATAAGAATAAAATAATAATGATCAACTTGTTGCTTATGTAGTTCGCAGTATCATTACAGAAGGCTTGTCTGGCACTAACAAGCTCTCACCTTTAATCACCGCTAGGATATTTGACTACTTATCAAAAGACTCTGAACATTCAGACCTAAAACTGCACTGCAGAGGGATTAATTCAATAAAATCAGAAATTTTTACATCGATTGCAAACTACTTGTCAATGGTCAGCGAAACATGTCACATCTGAAACGTACATCCTAATGGAAAGATTTTGTTCCAGATTTTTGGCTTGTCAAGGTTTGACTGATGTCAAGTTAGTTGACGAATGGATATCAATCAGGGAACCATTAGAAACTAGAGACTGCTGTACAGCTGTTCCATCCTACTTCAAGAATTTTCAGAAATACGCACCCATAACGTGACTAGGGAATGAACCGAAATACTTCTTTCTACGTGGTGAATCCATCGGTCTTCTAACCACCAAGACGTCATTCCTCAGGTCAATATCATCCGCAAGTGTTTTTCCTTATATCCGGCTTGGTGCACCACTTTGGTCACGAATTCTCATTTAAACTTCAAGCAACTCCAGCATGCAGTCAGTCACTAATCAGTATTCCATTAATTATTATTCCAGCTACCTATCCAGTGGTTTTCTGAAATATTTAAATATTGTATACTAAAGAGGTCCATATGTGGGGAGAGCTGGCTACAAGACAAAATTGCAGACAGCAATTTACGTGTGTTGCGTCCCGAATCTGGGTTATGAGAAAAAAACAATAACAAAGCTCAACCTTGAGGAACTCAACAATCAATCACAGCAGACTAAACGTGTGCAAATAAGATTCGCAGATATATGGCCTGACTTTCTAAGAAACGGTCACAAAGTGATGACAGAGTAACCTTCAGCAAGAAAACAACCAATCAGAAGGCGTTGCTTCTCCACCGACAATAATGTACATTAAAATCCATAAATATCTCTTGATTTTCTCAATAAACGATCTGTTGCCTGGCCCTTGTCTTCTGTTGTTACACTACTACTATCAATATTAAAAGGATTTTGATTGGTCACTAGCGAGTAACTAGTGGAATGTGTTTGGTCCTTGGCATTGGTGTAGACTGAATTCTATCAGTCAAGTTTGCAGTGTAGCTACTATGCTACGTTAATTACCACCACGACGAATCCTTTGAATTGTTGTTAGATAACATCCACATTGCAAACTTGACTGATAGAATTTCGTTTACAGCAACACCAATGCCTAGTCACCGCTTAGTGTCCGATCAAAGTATTCATCACAGTTCTATACGAGGTCGATCGCGAGTCCTAGTAACTCAGGGTTTAT